GTCATGCACCGTCGAACAACAATATTCGATCTCAAATAAGGCTCCTATTCTGCAGCTAGATAAGCATTTAAATACATTGGTCCCAAGAGGAAGTCCCTTGAATTCCGTACTTATGCTTCGCGCTGTTGACTCCTACTCTCTGATGACGTGAGGGCTTGCAACGAGTTGTTTCCACGACTAGTGGGATCCACCAAAACTCTAGTCTTTTCAACGTTGTGTTCGATTTTGTCGTTGATATCAGCAAAGAATGCATCCTTCAAGGAACCGTTAATCTGGGTTTCGAAGCCCGGGATAGTGTTACCTCCCTAATTAACGGGAATCAGTCTACACCTCGGTTTCAGCAATACCGAATGACCGGATCGATCAACGATTCGATAAGACCTGAAAGAAGTCATTCCCATGGTATTAAGGTCAAGAATTTGAACTCAGAAGGACAATGTTTTTGCACCAAAACAATAATGAGTAGTATATTCGCACAACAAATGCGTACTCCTTGATCATCCATAGTACGGTCGCTTTCGAATTCCCTCTAGGGTGAAGAAAGGAAGTGAGATATGGATACCGTGGGATACAATGATAGTTTACAGCGGAATGCAGTAATCGTTGCTTGGCAAAAATCAAAAGGTTTCTGTATTGGTCGGGAAACCCTTACGTGAAAAGCAAACTTCGCACTGGACTGGGTGTTTTGACTACCATGCCCAGCTCTGAAGTCCCCAACGAGGGCAAGCAGGCAAATACTCTGTAGTGCCATGAAGCATCAACAAAAACATACTAATGGAAAAAGTACTAACACAATACTAGATAAACCTTGAATATGAACCGTAGTGCAGGTCGACACAAAATCGGATAGGTGAGTCAAACACTAAAGGCCTGAAGGATGACTGAGTTATCGAGCCGACAGCTGAATGGCGTAGAGGTCACTCATGAGATCACGCGTCACAAACACTCAAACTACATGATAATTCCTGTCCCACTTGCGACCTCAGCCGACAACATGTACACTGCAACTTCCCATCCATTTTTGTTTACGCGGCTACCACTTGCATCACCCGCCAGGCTTATGAACTTCATTCAGTGCATCAGGTCAAGTTGTATTCTTGATCGTGCAAGCATCAAACACGAAGGGACACCCACTCTCGACACTGTGATCAGTAGGCATACAACTGGGCTCAACTCGCACACTCGCGCGCACAGGACAGGAAGTCAACAGAGCCCCGCAAGTCTCCACGGACAGCTACGGAACATTCGTAGCAGTTATACTGCCGAAAAGACACGTCCCACGTCCGGAGTTTCACTCAGGAACACTCAACAAGTGTCCTCCAACGGTAAATCACCTTTTGGCTTATTCCACTTTTTCCATTGTACCCATTTTTATCAAGGGCACCTAACTATTGTATTCATCACAGTCTAGACATTTTATAGTGCTCGTTACGTTCTGATGATCAACTTAATTACGTCACAACTAGAGCACTAACAGGTCCATGGTTTCAACCCGACCGCTGTATCTCGGCTTCTGACCAGGATGGGGCATTCTGGTAGTATTGCAGCCCTCGTGTAGCATGGCGGCTAGGCACCGAAATGGTGTCAGACCTGAGCGATTATTATTTCACTGATGCGTATGTGTGTACAACAAATTATCAAGATTATCACCAATGAGAGCTCACACTTGCCGGCCTATAGATTGCTAATCCACTTGAAAGTCATGGGTTTGAGTTATTTCATCATGCGAAAGTTTCAAATTTGCAAGACTGATTGTCACACCTGTGGGTGGGTCTTGGCAACCGGGCTCTGAACATTGATTTCTAGATGTGTTTTGGCGATATATCATTAATCCTCATAAAAGTACAACCGAATGGAATCACAAACACCCCACGGGCATCACGGAAATAATACTGTTATTCATCCTCTGGCAAAATTGCTGCGTGAGTTGCGCCTCATTTTTAGTTGAGATTGTACCCTAAAAATGGCAAGCCGCGAAGAATATAATAGCTGGTTCATTCTTATTGGGAATCATTCGCAGCGCGTCTCGCGAATGTCAATATGGTTTCAAAACAGAAAAATCCCGCTTCGAAATTTGAACACTTAAGCCTTCAGTTATGAGGGGCTGATCACCACTTTGACGAACGTTGTGCTAAGCAGGATAAGGCCCAAGGATCAAACACACTGAGTTTCATAATATTGGCATTGCTGATGATGAAAACGAAACACCGGTGCGATGCTTCGTGTCAGCAGAAAATTGGCTTCACATAGAATTCAGAAACCCAGCTGATACTTCCAGGTTCCACTCGCATTATCAGAAAAAATTCATTTCTTCCGTTTTCATTTAAAGTCTGGTATTTTCATGTGACGACTGATATGGGGTCAGCATAATGACTGCAAATTTAAAATCTACGAGATGATGGAGGAAACATCCTCAGCGATTAAATAGCTGGAGCTTGTCTTCAATAACGATTATAATGACAATTCACAAAACTAAACAAATAATAAGAATCTAATTCTGAAAACGTTTTATTTTCCCAACTTTTTGGCTTAGTAAGTAGAGGCCACATTCAACGGTTAAGAATCGTAAGAAGGCCAGAGCAAATGCGTTCAGAACAGTCAGAGAGGAACTTACTGTCGGTTCTGTTTGTCCCCGCTTGCAATACACTCTTGGCTTTCCATTTCATCCTCCCCGAAGAGATTCTGAATTCAAAAAGTGATTGGTTGGTTTAGGAACCGCAGTGATATTGAGTAACAATGAAATATTCGGTACATTAGTGAGCCCGGGAGCCCATGTTTAAGCACTGATCTTTGGAATTTTTAGTACAGATAATTAAGTTTAATATCTCACGAAATATGTTTGAGTCGCACAACTAATAAGCTAACGTCTAGGGTTTGATCAGCTAGTTGATCGAATTTAAAATCAGTTATTCCCAAAAAGGTGGTTAAATTTTATAGATACAGCCCCAAAATCGACTTTATTTTTTTGTCCGCTTTCCATTTTGTAATTCTCCTCATGTAGTCTTTTAAGACATTAGGCAAGCCAGTGATTTTTATAGTTTGAACGCATTCGCCCGTTCACGCGGTATAATCTTAATGCTTCTAGAATGTGCTGAAATGTCAGGGTTGCGAAATCGCTTCCCATGTTAAATGTTTTGGGTTCAAATCCAAGTTTATCCAGGATTAGCTGCCACTGCGCTCTAACAAGTAGGGTTCTACTTGTTGCCTTCTGTATTTGGAGTAGATCATTCAAAATAGTTGTACGTAAATGGACAAAGCACACCCGAGGAGTACAAATCAGGGCCTCCTACAGCCACAATAATTAGATCGGGGCCGTCAGTCCATAAAGCCAGAATTCAACTACTTTAGAATCATAAATGAAATAATGAATACTGTTTCCCCTTTAAACCAAAGTTAAACTTTTCCGCATCCTTTTACAGAAAAACATATTAGTAAAATTAAAGGTACTTGAGGAAGTTCAACAAAGGTCTTCAAAAAATGAGTAAATAACACCTCAACGGAGTGTTGTTTTGTTTGTCACTAATCACTTTTTCTTCAATAGCGTTCTTAAATTCACTTCAGTGATATTCAGAAGTCAAAAGTTTGTAGATCTTTCAATTTGTCTACAACACTGGAGGGGGACAAGCAACAAACTCATAGACTGACACAAAAACTTTCTTCTATCTGCATTATTATCTGGCATCGCAAAGTGTTGGGAAGCGTGTTTGACTTTTTTCTTCAAATGAGGTATTAGTTTTCATTCTGCGGTGAGATTTCTCAGACAGTTTTGAAATATTGTTTCTGCTCTAGAGCTTTTTATGAAATATATTTGAGGACTGAGAATTTTAACTATATGGAGCAGTTTTTCCTTTGTGAGCCTAAAAAGTTTCCTCATCTAAATTTCACCCAGTACAAGCTCGTTCTTAGCTGCCCATTCTTGACGACATACGATATGGTGCCTGTGGGTACGTGGGCACTTAGTCTTCACGCAAGTGTCCCCAATAATGAACTGATCAAACGCTACGACACAGTATCTGTAACATGCCGTGTAGAAAAAGCAGCATGTGGAAATGGTTTCCTGTATGGCCTGTTTGAGAATCTTGCATTTTGCAGTTGAAAATAACTGCAATAAGACTCGCGAATCCTGGTCACATTTGCTTAACCAAATGGTGTATGGGAAGAGGATTTAGTTGTTTTTATTACAGTATATGAGGTTGCCACGTATGGTAACCTTGGGTACAAAAATAATGTAGTCGTAAAGCTTAGAAAATTCTACGCTACAAAATGTAGCGTTTCAGTGTTCGCACGATTCATTTAGCCCAATCCACTGCGCCTGAAGATACTCTTCAGCTGGCACCCTGGACAGGGCTTTTTAATCAAACAAGCAACCCGGTAGAAAACAGTGAAACTAAAGATTTATGGTAAGTGGGACGTCAGTAGTAATCAAAATGATTTAGCAAAAATACGTTGTCAACTATTTCTCAGTGGAGTAGCCTATGACACGTGACCTTTTTCTGACCACGAATTTAAGTAACGGCTTTCAAAATGACAGCGTTGAGAATGCGCATGTTATGTGCACCTTTTACACAATTTTTTGGAAAATAGGGGACAAATATTTTGCTGTCATACAGAGGCACAAACCCTGACTTTTTACGTCGGGACCAAATCCTGTGAAAAACCAGTTTATTGTGATAAAGTAGTTCTGAAATCTGACCACTAATCTAGTTTTCACTTANAAGTGCAAGAGGTACCGTGAAGCCGTCTTGTTCTTCATCAGTATATATATCAGTATACATATCATCAGCATATATAACATCATTTATATATACCATATATATACCATATATACAATATACAATATATATATATATACATATATATATCAACAATTCGACTCTGCGGTATCCCAACCAGCAGTTATAGATTTCGATTTTCAAAAAAGAAGCTTGGAAGGGTCATGAAATTAAGCAGTAACATTTATGAATATTGGAAGAGTAGTTGATGAAGAACTCCCCCATAAACTCTAAGGAACTGAGAATTCACAGAAGCAGCTGATTTGCCATGGTGCAACGAATAAAGTGTGAACACGTTCAAGGTTGAGATTTTAGACGAAGTTCAGTTTGATTTTGATTATTCGATCCAACCGATGTGACCATATAATCAGGAAAAATTTGATGGCGTACCGCTTTCTTTTTATACTTGAAGTATATTTAATGGCCTGCCAAAACTATAGGCTAACAAATAAATCAATTTTCGCATGAAAGTCGATTCAATTATCCTCAAATAAATATATCGCCATCACATGAGGAAAATATGTACCTTCTCATCAATAACCGCCTGTCGTCTGCCTCGGCGCTGAGCAATTTCCACTTGCTTGTCCTTATCTCTTGGATGGATTTGTTCCAGAGCGTCGTTCGACACCGAAGTTTTCTGTCTGTCCTCGTTTCCCGATAATTCGGAATCATTGTGTAAGTTGTGTATGTCTTCCTTGCTGCATAGAGACTGGAAAAGAATAACGGAAAGTCAGAGATAGATTTTACGAAATAGGATGGAATATTAAATCCTTATTAGAAATTAAATTTAGAGTGACCACTGAGCTGCACAACTGCAAAAGTGGAATTTCCAATTTGTCTGAGACGTGTGAGCAAAAATTACCCCCGCAAAGTCTCAAAACATCAAAAATATTTAGTGAATATTTTTTAACACTGGTTAGTGATTCGCTCTGGTGATTAAACTTGCAGATATTTCAAATGCTCATGAAATTACACTTTTTTACTCGTAATTCGCGGATTTTAGAGTTGTAAAACGAGGAGGTAAAATACACACTTGCTTATTGAAAATTATCCTGGGGACCATTGAAATTTCGTGACCGTTTTATTTTCACCCCTTTATGACAATACGTTTCCTGTTCGTGAACATCAACTTTCGAACTCTAGTCGTCCTGATGGATGGCGAGAATCAATACAACACTGAGATTTCTCGCCTGATTCCGATGATACTTGTGATATTGTGGGCGCTGTGGGAAATGTGGAATAGTAATTTAAATATTATCTCCAAACTTCGAACAATATCACATCTGTGAATGAGTAGACACCGGTAATCTTGGTAATCACAGAAGAGTATGCACGGCTTTTCGCTTGAGAGATAAGGCCACACAACTTGTAAACTTACCTAATCAGAAACGTATGATAATATATCATCTTGCGAGAAGGCATGATCCTCCAACCTGTTGATATAATAATCTCACTGTGAGAGTTCATCGATTGTTTTTGTTGTGCCCTGCAGCGCGACCAGCATTGCAGCGATATAACATCGTTTCTACGTCAAAGCTAATTGTCCGGTCGTAAAAAACGTTTGAAAACTTGCTTGTATCCGAATAGACGTCCGATTTTGATTCGATGTGTAAAATTATTGGTGAGCAACACTCTCTGAACAATATTTGCCAAAATTGTCGTATGATTGCGGCACATTATACTCCGGATTTAGGACACTGTCATGGCCTAGCAATCTGCTATGATAGGTACGAGAAATAATCCGCCCCAATTTGTTGGAGGTTTTAGAAATTTGCATTATCCATCGCTTTCAATAAGCGATTCACGCTGAATAAATAACCAAACAAAATTAATCAATGTGGAAGACTGGCTGCGGCGTTATGCACTGAGTATATTTCACATGAGATGTGGATAGAAGCTCAGTTTAATTGTGAATAAACGAAGATAAGTTGAAGAAAATGGTCCAGTTTGAGTAAGAGTAGAAGCTCCATGTCCGGATTTAGACATTGTCATGGCCTAGCAATCTGCTATGATAGGTACGAGAAATAATCCGCCCCAATTTGTTGGAGGTTTTAGAAATTTGCATTATCCATCGCTTTCAATAAGCGATTCACGCTGAATAAATAACCAAACAAAATTAATCAATGTGGAAGACTGGCTGCGGCGTTATGCACTGAGTATATTTCACATGAGATGTGGATAGAAGCTCAGTTTAATTGTGAATAAACGAAGATAAGTTGAAGAAAATGGTCCAGTTTGAGTAAGAGTAGAAGCTCCATGGAAAAATCTTCACATGGTTTGAATTCCAGCTAATATCACAACACAAGAGTTACTAAAGTACGCAAACTTAAGGTTTATCTAACAAAAACGAACGTTATAGATTTTTTTGTCAAACGCGAAAATGCTTGGTCGTCAATTATTTGTCAAAGGTCTTTTACAATAAACAGACCCGGAAAATAATCAAACATTTTGGTAAAAATGAGAATGGAGGATGGCAATAAAAACGGTTTGTTGTTTCAAGCTGTCATTATTCCAGAAAAACTTCACATCCAGTCGGATTAGGTTTCTTCTAGGCTGTGCATATAAGGTTAAGTACAGAAATTGTTTCGTTTTTCACGCGGAGAAACCAAAATGACGCCGTCCTCCAAAAACGTCTACTGTGGCATGAGTAACAATAGAACCTCAATACGCCAGAACATTTTTATATATAAAAGCAAGTTTATTCTATCTAATAAACGTTCCGAATAAATTTAACTTACAATGATTGCCATAAGCACAGCACCCTTTAAGTCCTCCTGCTCACGGTAACCGTACTGGCTATGGCCGGCAAATCTGATCAAAGATTTTGTTCAGTGCATAACTAGTTGATTGAAACTTGCCATCGGTTGATTCTAGGCAGCGTCAGACGTCTTTTCTAAGATAAAATCATTACCAAAAGCTAGAAAATTTTTTTCGCTTAGTTACACGTTATTAATTACACGTAAATGACTCAGAATAAATTTATCTGCTTATAAGATGCTGAAAGGTCGTTTTCTGCTTGTAAAACCAACATGCACATTTCTGTTGGGGCAAATAAAACCGGGAGGGACACAATAATCTGCTTTTCAACAGATGCTGGTGAACGTATGTTGGCCCACGTTTTACCCGAAATGAGAAGTTATCCTTTATAAACCGTTAGGTTGTGAAAACACATGTATCCTGAAGATTTTTGTGGTTGACGTACAACAAACCCAATATTATGTCTCTTTTCTTCAGGGAAATAATTTATTCTGCTTGGATTTATTTGGGTGGCATCTGAAGGTAGTTGTTTACACAACCACTGGATGGTAGTCATACGGGTGATTTAATACGTACGATACGTTTATATTTTGATCATTCTGCGGGTTAACTTGAGTCTACCCATCAATATTTCCTCATTGCCCTGAAATCGGATATTGCTAAATATTTCCGACACTGATCAGCTCCTTTGGTTGAAAGCTTAACATCAGAATTAACACTGCATTACCAAATAATTACACGATACATCTAAGGCTTTACCTAACCTTTCTCTTAGGCGCTCTCAGGCACCAAATATTAAAAATTAATTTAGAAGAATATACCATCTAGGCACTCCCAAGCGATGCCGCTTTTTTGAATGATGTGTACATAAGTGGTTTGTACAATAAAAGTTAATTTGTTGAGATATCTCAGTGATTAGAGCGCAAATTCATCAACAAGAATGTTTGGTTTTCGACTTTGCATGACTTTACCTCTTGGCTTCCCCTGTCTAAAATTTGGCAAATTGGCTTTACCCAGGGCCTCGTTCTTCTTTCTGATGGCATGAAATTTCCGCACTCATAGGACGCTTCTGAAAGTGTCAGTTGCCTAGTTTCTTCAGTGAATTAATCAGCCAAGTGTTAGTCCGAATACTTTATAACCATTTCAACTGTGAAGGTGATATGCCAGATGGAATTTAGATCTGTTTCGAAAACAAACTTTTTTCGGAACGGTTTAGCAAAGCAAACTAGCCCGGAGAGGACATGGTTTTTAATTTTCCATTAGAACAATTATTTGAACCAGCAAATAAACTTAGATGTTTTCTACGTGGGAGACGATACAATAAACATTGCAAAAATCTCGATGAAGTCGGACGAATAAAAAACAAATCAGTTGTTGAAAAACAATTTATTTTTGTGACAGTGGCCGAAAAACTAATTCATCTGTTTATTTTGCACGTCATTTTGGATGACTCTTAAAGGTCACAACAGAAACAGTAACAAGTTTTGATTTCGGCATATTAGTAAATTGGAGAATATCTGTACAGATTCAGAGGTGAATAAAATTATATGATATCCCTTTGGACGCGTATAATTCATCTGTCATTTTCCAAAGATGACATTTCAGAATAGAGTACTTCTGTCTGGATAACAGCTTAACGTCCGTGTGCTGTGGTCACAATGACTCGTTAATCGAGCATTTGACAACCTATCTCTCTCTTACACTTCTACTACGAACGTCGCAATTTCATCGACTTTGCGCACACATCACATATAAGAATATAATAAAATGTACTCGGTACCGTGACCGTAATGGATATATTTTGTAGCTACCACATGAAACACGATCGAATCTGTTTAAAGAGACTAGGATTCAACAAACTTTTTCACTTCACTTATTCAGAGACAGCTCATCTATTTTATCTTTGAAAATTCCGGCCTACCAAAATGTTAGCTAATCTATCATTTTCAGCAGTTACTTTTTTTGAACGCATAGAAGCGGGACTTTGAATATACTTGTCACCATTTATCACGCTTTCCTATGAATGAGTGTGTTATTACTCTTGATTTGTACAGCCTTTTATTGCCAACGTGGGAAGTTATTTTGTAGATTTGAGTAAATTTTATACGTGGGGTGAGTTAAAATTATTCTGCTTGCTGGATTCAACGTCCCTCAAATTTGCTGAACCCGGATTTCAAAATTCTGTTTTTCCGCGGAAAACATTTCAATCTAGTGCATTAAGAAAGAAGTAAAATAAATGCTGCAGGCGTAACCATATTTTAAGTTAAAGAAGGCATATTACGTCAAATGCTTTTACCTATTCGCGTGCGTATCTTTTACTTTATCATATATAACCTGCCCCGTTTGGCTTGGGGTATTGATGTTCTCTGGTGGTAATACTGTCAAAATGAATTCCAAGTTTATTTATGCTACGAACTAGAGCAGGGTAGCTTTTCTGAATTGCTCAAAGTGAAGCTCAAATTTATGCGACTCCACACGCTGGATGTGTTTGCATTCATCACCACAGGCTTGGGCTGTGCCGTTCAAGCAGACAAAAATTAAAACAAAGTTGTTGAAACAACAATCGCTTGAAACCGAAAACTGTTTTATATTATTTATTTTGCCGAGAAATGTGTAAAATATAATACTGCGAGAACGCAATATAGATACTGTGTTGCATCAAACGTACCCATTCATTAACGTAAAGATGAGAAATGTTTTTATGCTCGATATACGTTATGTGTTGCTTAACAGGGAGCCGATGTATACATATCCAGTTAGATAGGGAAACGAAAGAAAATAGTGTTATTTTTCCGTTAATTTAAGAAGTGGCCTTTAACTACATGGGTGAATGGAATTAAAAATAGAAATCATTCAGCAATAACATCCTAACTGTGCCTAGGTGTCATGCCACGCAAAGGGAACCAGAGGGCTGAGATACCGCCAGGGTGTCCAAATATACAGAGACCTTG